CAATTTTTTAAAAAAGTCTTATATTTTTTAATCAGCTGTTTTTACTTTTTCCTCTTTCATATTGCAATTAACGTACCATAACGTGCTACTGCTAGAGAAGATAAGATTAAAGTTTATTAATTTGAATATTTTATATTTTAATTTAATAGATTAGGATTTGCAAGGATATAAATATTTCATCATCAGATTCTGAAAATAAAAATTCAATATTAGATGAATTAGAATTACCATGGCCCTATCAAAAATATTTCACTGTTTTAAAATAAATTCCAAGATATCCTTTTTTTTGACGAGGAAGAAGAGGGCAGATTGGAGGATGATAACATAGCTCAATTTTTTGAGACAATGGATAAAACATTAAATGTTTTTAATAAATTCCCCCTTTTAAAAGAATGTTTATCAAGTATAACACCGCAATCCCTTCATCTGCCCCTGTTGAGCGAGTTTTTAGTATAGCTAACGCTGTATTAAGTGCCAAGCGTTCATGCCTATCAGATGAAAATTTTGAAAAGCAATTATTATTAAAAATTAATAAGAAAATTTTTTTATAAATTTATTTTTTTATCGCTCTATTATATTGTATTTATAATTATATTATCAAAATAAAACTATTATTTTTTATCATGGCTAATATATTGGGTTGAAAAATATAAGGCATTTATTTATATTAAATTAAATTTAAAAAAAAATTTATCATAAAATTTTGAACGCATGAACGCGTTCACGAACTCAAACGCGTTCACGAACTCGAACGCGTTCACGAACTTGAACGCGTTCCTTTTTTTGAATTTGAACGTGAACGCGTTCGATTTTTGTCAATGAACGTTGAACGAGAACGCGTTCGATTTTTTTTAAAATGTTTACAGCACTATGAAAATGTAATAATAACTTACTTAATATACCCGAAGAAATCATGTTTACCAATTACGTTTTTGCGAGTTAAAAATGAGTTCAATATGATGTTTGAACAAAATTTATTAATAAAATGAATGTGAAAAGTTTTGTTAATTATTAAAACTAAGAAAGTATATTTTTTTTTGAACATTTGCATTTTTATTTTACTTCATAGCCCGTTTTTTCCTAAAATCGGGTGGCTTAAATACGCCGTTGACCAGAGGAAATAAAGTATACCAATGTTTTATGTGCTGATGAGTATAAACTGTTGTAATATATTTTTTTAAGTTTATTTTTTACTCTAATAACCAATAACAACAAAGGAAGTTGTTAAAAGTAAGAACAATTAAGTAATACCCCAATAACCAAGTTGTTAAAAAAACAAGTTAAGGATTATGTGTTTAAACTAAGTTTGGATTTATTTTTGCGCTCTTTTTGAAAAGCCTAACCATGTAATTAAATAAAATTTATTAGTTATTAAAGTTTATTTTACAAAGTTCTAATATTTTGTTAAAGTTAACAGCTTTGCTATGAAAGGGGCAAAAGTGAGGCCGTCTAAATATAAAAAAATGGCTAGTGCAAAAGAAATTATAAGAGCTAGCCTGGCTAAAAATCCATAAATGATCTGATTTTAATGTCTCCCAATATTTTTAGAATTTTTTATTTAACAAATACATTTCTGGAATTAAATATATTGTAATTGATCCTATAGACATATAAGAATATGTATAATATGATTGAGGAATAACACTCACAAGATAGCGCATGGGGCTTATTAATTAAATGAAGGCGGTTTATTAAATATTTGATGATTTCCACATTATTCTCCTGACACGCTAGCATCAAGGGAGTCATATCTACGGAAAATTCTAAATTGTTTGTACATGTAGCCATTTCGAATCTTGGGTTCGTTTTTCTGTATTTATGTTTGTCAAAATTTATTTTAGATATTATTTAATTATACAGCATATTCATAGGCAAATTTTTTTAAAAATAATTAACTATACCATTAGTCTGTTAATTCAATATTTTACTCTATATATTTGATGATCTCTTTTAGAATAGCCAAATTCCCATATCTAATGGCCTGCAAAATCAAATCGCTCTGATATTTGACACCGTTTTCCAATAATAGAGTAATTATATAAGTCTCATCTACTCTTTTTATGGCGTGATAGAGAATTGAATTTCCTTCGGAATCCAGAAAATTTAGTATAGACAGTGATTCAAGATTCTAATATTTTAAAACAAGACGTCAAAACATAATTAACTATTTATTGTTATTGCTCGTTTTGTGGATTGAAAAATCTCGACTTCGAGTAACGATAAAAAATCTTTTTTTAAAATAATTTAAGAATTTCATCAATGGAAAAAAACATTATTGACAGAATTAGATAATGATAATGTTATAAATACTTTTGCACTTTTCTTCCATTAATTTATCGAAATTATTAATTTAGTTTTTTCTTAGGTCTAGACTGGAGTGCTCCACTTGCGCAAATGTTTAAAATGAAAAAATCAACATTAAATTTAAAATCATATAGGAAAAACTTATTGATCAATTTAATTAAAATTTTCAGAGATAATTTATCATAATAAATTTATCTAACATAATCAAAATGCAAATACTTAATGATTTTTGTTCAAAGTGCTCCATTTACATTTTTTTATTAGGAATTAATAAATAATAACATCAAATCATTGAAATTAACACTAAACCTTTATTATTTTTTTCTAATTTATTCATATAATAATGATCTTGAACAGGAATTTTTGATAATTCTTCATACTTTTTAGAATATACATTAATAAACTATTTTATAATTTAGTACTCCTTTGAAGAATCTTTTTGCTTGTAATATGAATAGACTCTTGTAATGATAGTTATGTGATCAATGATGTCTTCTGTTGAATAATCTTAAAATGAAAATTTTGTAAGAAACTCATTTTATATTTTATCACCCCTTGCGTAGCTTTTTCTTATTTTTTTGTTAAACTTATTTTTATATTTTATTTAACCTTTATGTTAACTTATTCATTCAAATTATACAAGATATATATCAGTGACCTGCAGATGTACAATTTGTACGGACCGGCCCGGATTTTTTTTTACAAAATTTTTTTCAAAATATATTTTTCTTATTTTTGATTACAGCTAATAATGGCGATTTCCTGGTTTTAAAATATACGGCCCGTCCCGGATATTATTTTTTAAAAAAATTTCAGGCCCGGCCCGGGTAAATTAAAAAAATTAAAATATGGCCCGGCCCGGGGCCTGTCCGGGCTTAGGGCCGGGCCTGCAGGTCTCTGATATATATAGAGATAGAAAATACTTTTAACTTTGAGGCTTATAATTTTTAGTTATTTAAAAATACACTCACATATAGTTTTACACCTGGTATACTATTTTACAATCTCCATCAGAAATTACTTTTTTTTAGTATTTTTACCTTTTCAAAGAGCCAAATCAATTCCATATTTTAGTATAAATTTTTAAAGAAATAATTAATATATTTATTACTTATGTGTTATGACAAGTCTTTGTAAAAAATCATCTGCACTCTAACATTCTCCACTTCAAAAAAATATAAGCATGAATAGATTTTATAATTTAAAGAATTTTTTGTCCTTTTCTAACATGGTATCCTCCAATAAATTTTCATAAGTTAAGCTTCAAAAAGTCTCATGAATAATTTTACTCTGATCAGCATTAGTTTTTGTGAAACTGAAATACATTTATTCGATGATTATTATGAAAAATCAAATTTTACATAAAAATATAAATTCAATTTTATGTAACATGTATATTTAAAATATGAGCAAGTAGTTTATTAAAAAATTGTGATAAATTTTACATATAATTAATATTCAATTTTAATATTATTTAATGAGCAAGTAATGCTTAATAAAAAAAATTGATAAATTTTACATACAATTTAAATTCATATATCTTTTTTAAAGATTACACATGAAAACTGCATTAAAAATACTTTAAAATAATAAAAAATTTATCTTGACATTAAAATAATTTTAGTAATAAATAAGAAACGAAAATATTTTACAATTCAATATGGAAAGCAAAAAATAAAAAAAGGAGGGAAATCCAACACGTGATTAAATAAGATAATAGGATAGGCCATGCATATGAGGCTAAAATTACGTCGTTATATGCAAATAGCGCAAAATTGACAGAGCTATAACTTCGGCAAAAATTAATATTTTTTAATCTAGTTTTTATTTTTATATATATATTGGGAATAAATAAGTTATTGCCAAAATTTGAAAATGTCAACTGGAGCACTCCAATTCTAGATCGACGATTTGTTAAAGAAAGAATATTTAATTTTTTCTTACAATTTTAATTTCACTTAACCTTTTCATTCCTTTTTTAAAGTATTTTATTTTTTTACACCATTTTAAGGGTATACGTCCAAACTTAAAAAAATAATAAGAGATGTAAGCATTTTAATATCATCTGTATAATATAGACAGATAAGGCTAAAATTCGTGAAATATTTATTTGAGTTTAGACTTAGCCTTAATGTATCAATCTGTTTACTTTATATTAGCGGAAGCCTATTATTTTAAAAACATCATATTGAAAAATATTGTTTTTCAATTTTTCTAGTCCAAATTTTTAATTATATTTTATTTCAAATAGTGCCCCACTTTTATATATTATTCTTAAGTATATAATTAAAGGTAAAGGAGGGGTGGAAGGGGGAGGGAACCAATTTTATAAATATTTCTGCTTCTTTTTTAGGGGCGTTTTTATCAGATTGGGGTGGGTATTTACTTCATAGACTTAGGGTATATCATGCAACCCCCCTCACCCCATCTCCTGTGATAGAGAGTACGGACATGTCCGCTAATAAAATTTATGTGGTGGATAAATTCCCCGTAATCTCTCTAGACTTTAAGAACTAACGACATCACTTGTTCGACATCTTTTAACGATTTCATTTATTAAAACGAATTATATATTATTTAAAAAATATTTCTTACAGATATAAAATCTTTGATTTCCTTTAGTGATTGATGTTTAACCAATGTTAACAAGATTATTTGTTCAGGGTGAATGGAATAAGGTTTCAATTTTTTCTTACGAGATGGTTTGTTCGGTCTTACTGAGATTAAAGGCTCTGAATCGTCTTCAAAGTCTTTTCTCATAATTAAAAGCGAATTAGTAAATTTATAAAGAATTGAGTTCTAATGTGATATTTTTTTTGGTTGTCATTAGCTGCGTCCAAATTTTATATTGCAAATTTTATATTTAAGGTTAGATTATTAAAAAATTCAAAATTTTCTAGAAAAATATTTTGTATATATGTTTTTATTTATATAGAATATATAATTATATATTTATTTATTTCTATTAAAATTTTAGAAATTTATAAATTTCTTTTCTTCAAATTTTGGGCAGTCTTTAATACAAATTTTAGAATAGATAATATTATTATAAAAATATTTGAGTGGTTGTATTTAAAAAAATCTTATAAAGCAACCATATTAATTTGTAGGGGCTTATAGAGGCAAGAGCGTGCTTAAATAAACACAACCCTAAAATATTTTCATTAGGAACAGAGTTTTTGAAGAAGCTAATATCAATTTATTTTGCTCCGCCCTTTATAATAGAAGTTATTAAACCCCCATAATATTATACTGCTAGGATGTCGTTATCTGAAGGCATGACAAGACGAGATTCAAACGTTTACTACGTGCTCATCATGAAGAAGGGCAAAAAACTGGACCCTATAACCAAAGTAGTGTTAAGATTAAAAGGGTGGGGGGTATTTGGTAATATCAATACAAATTTAATTTGAGTTTAGACTATAATAAAATTAAATGAAGTTTTATGAAATTGAAATGTAGAAAAGATTTGGTTGGTTATGGATTATTTAATATAATGATAATTCATGGATGTGTTCCGTTTTTTATATAAAAAAGCATCCTATAAAAGTTACATATCGAACTTTAATTAAAATTCTGTAAAATGGGCCCCCTCTTTTCTCTAAGCTCATTCTAGAATATATAGTATCTAAGCTAGCCAGCGTCCAAAAAGTGAAACTACCTTAGTCTCCTTTCCTTACCGTGCAGTTCATCCTGTATAATGAGGAGGAAAACAGGGATAATTTTTCAGAAAAATAAAAAAAGATTTATAATACCATTAAAAAAAAATTTGACTTTATTAAATTGAGATTCCATGTTACATTAGCGTTGAAAGGAATTTCATATATACTAGTGTAATTCAAATTAAACTAAGATTCATTATACAATGAACTGCGCCATTTATATTGCTTGATAGTGATTAGACTTACAAAATCAAATCAACTTTACTAAAATCTTCCAAAAAAATATTATATAATAATATATATAGGCTTCGGTTTATTCATTTACAATTTTATAATTGCTAATAAAAATTAAAATTTTAGAAAAAATTTTTAAATATTTGATTCTTGCTAAATTGCTGTAAAATTACTATTCGATCTTTAATTAAAAATAAATTTATATACAAATGATAATGATAAAAGAAAATCCTGTAGAAAAAAACTTAGGAATAAGAAACTAAAAAAAATCGCAAGGAAAAAAAAACTGATGGAAGAAAAACTCGTAAATAAAACGCTGCAGAAATAAATAAGTATGAATAAAAGTCTGTGATCGCAATTTTTTATACTTAAGCTTTTTTTTCCTTCCGCTGTTTTTTTTTCTATTCAGAGTTTTTTAGTCGAGTTTTTTTTTATCGGTTTATTATACTGTGATTCATATTATATATAATGCATAAATTATAACAAAATTATTTATGCTCATATGAAGTGTCAGTCAGATGATAGGATTTGTCTGTTGACGTAGAATATACCTAATCATTGATTAATTTCTCAGAATTTTGCATAATCTCCTAATTATATGAATCATATTTGATAATTATCTAACCTTCTTATAAAAAAATTATAATAACTAATAAAAAGAATTGCATTTGTTTTTATAACTTCCATTTATGACGCGTGTATCTATCAATTATAAGCGTTATCAGCTTCTATAAATAATGATTAAATAATTCTATTAAAATTTTCGAATGCCATCTACTTGGTATTCTTGAGCAAAAACATGTCCCCTTTACCTTTTTTCTTTTTAAAAATTTCGCCCTAAATGAATTTTAAATATTAGGGGAGACCGGGGTTATATTGTCCATAAAAAATTGAGAGGCTGTGAAAAGGAGGAGAAATAATTTATCAAAATAATTTTGATGTTATTTTATTCTTTATATAATTATCTACGGTAGAAATTAATATCTAATAAAAAAATATTATATATTTATTTAAATTTAAAAAAAATGAAAATTTTTGAGTCATGAAAAAGAGACGGGGGATGTATTATCCTTTTGTGGGGCATGTTTTAGACTATCATTTTCTAAGCATTTTATTCATTTTTTTCATATAAAAATCATAACAAACATATAATATTAACATACAACACATTTATTACATATAAAAAATGGATTAAAATCACAACATGATCCATGTGCCCATAAATGACAATCCAATCTTCATTATGGTGGTGAGTTTGATAGTTTTTGTGGCACACTAAACAAAATTCTTTTTTGCCAGCATTCATATTTAAACTTTTTTTATTATTGGTTTGATTTTTTTTTCAGATTATTAGCCCTAGATCTGGCTATTTTTTTGTAAGGTGAAGAGGGGAGGGAGAGTCAATAGAACTATACCACTGTCAGAGCACAGCTCAATGACTTCAATAGATTGGTGAGATTTATGATTATCTAATATAAGCAAAACTTTTTTATCTTGACTGGGCTTAGTGTATTTTATAAAATGATTTTAAAAATATATAAAATCTTCAGTCAGCATCCACCCAGAACCATTAGACACGCCAATGCATCCTACAGGGCCATCTCTTAAATAATGATCATAAAATTTTTTCCTGGGATATATAAACATAGGTGGAATAGAATTTCCTAGAGCATTGACAGCAATTGCCAAGGTCATAAGTGTACCACATTCTAATGTAGTAATTGCCACAACCTGTTTTTCGCCTTTCCTTGCAATAACTTTATTAGGCCGTTGAACTGTTGTTAATCCTATGAAAATATTAAAGATTTGCTATCATTTATATTTTAATTAACCAGTTTCATCCATATTATATATATCACATGGTAGAAAGTTATTTTCCCTTGTGACAGTCAAATAATTAAAAAATAAATCAACCATTTTCATATTAAAATTGGTAGCCCTGGCTATACTTGTAGCCTCTGGTGTTCTCAAAGAAATGGTTGGATTTCTTTTAATAAATTCTCCAACCCAGTCTTCACCAGCTGATTGAGTTATTTCACAAGATTTTGGTACTTGTAAACTATACCTCTAGACATTAAATTATTTATATATTAAGGCAATCTAATTAAAATCCTAATTCTTAAATTTTATTCTGAATTTATTTAATAATTAATATAATAAAATATATCATACATAATTAAACCTCTAATGTATAGGTAAGAACCAAAATATGTTTTAATGCATGATATAATTTAATGCTAAATCAATGAATAAATCATTTTAAAATTAATATACATGGCAGCATCATTTTATTTTAAATATATATCATACACACATAATTAAATCTTTAATATATAGGTAAGATATGATTTAATGCATGATATAATATATATAATGCTACATTGAATAAATCATTTTAAAATTAATATTAATACATGGCAGCATCATTTTAAAATTAATATATATACATGGCAGCATCATTTTATTTACATATATATCATACACACTTAAATAAATATCATTCTAATGTATAAGTTAAATTCTTACTTTAAAGTATTTTAAAATTAATAAAGATGTTTCATTAACATATAATGTAAATAATTTAAAAAAATTTTCTCAAGTTTATTATTATTTAACTAAAGAAATACCATGGCATAAATTTAAAGATTATAAAAAAAATCATTTTACAGAGATATATGATATAACAAAGGATTAAAATACTTGATTAGGGCATAATCCTGAAAATAATCTTGATTCTTTAATTAAATAATCTGTTAATTTAGCTTCTTGAATAGGAGAAAATACTGATCTGTAAAGATATCGCTCTTGAAAATCTTCATTTCTTTTGAACAATTTATTATACCTCTTATTGCTTAGTTTCTTAAATATATACTAATTTAAATATATAAATATACCTCCCATAACTTAAATTCGTATTCATGGTTATAACTGTCAAAGGTATCTTATATTTCAGCATTTGAAGAATACTTGCCTTTTGATTATCATTATTTTCTTTGTTAGTTTTTCTAATATATGTTCGAACCATTTTACAAAATCAGAACCAATATTTTAATGAATGTATGTAAAAGGAAAAGACGCACCCCGCTAATACCTTCCCCAGGTCCACAGGATCATTTAAAAATTAAATTTAGAATATTAAAATAACATAATGATTGTCAATATTTTTATATATGATAAAATGGAGATTTTTTTATCATTTAGAATTTATATTAAGTCTGAACAACTTTTATAAAAAAAGTTATTCGTGAAAATGTAAAATTTAAAAAAGTTACTTTGGGTATGTTGAAACTTAAATTTGCATTTAAAATTTTTCATGAGCAATTTTGTCCGAAACAATTTTGGATCTACTTAAGCACCTTATTATAATACATATTTGGCTTAAATTACAAATCTTAAACTTTATTAATTTTTAAATTATTTGAGAAGGAAATACCTACCCCGGGAACACACTATCCCCGGTCTCCCCTATAAGCATTTACAATTTAAGTTCCACTGTAATAAGAAGACAAAATAAAACTTTAGGACATAAAAAATAATTACACAAATTATATAATAAATTTCCTAAACTGAACAAAGCTTCATAATAGATTTTATAAAGGGGGCGGTGGCAGTGTTCTTCCATCTTCAAAATAATCCAGATAGCTGTTCGTGTGAATTTCTATTCAACATCCCCATTATCCTAAATGTAAAAATAGACCCCCAAATATTATAGAAATTGTCTTAAATTTCATTAATTTTGATGCATGAATAGGCCCATAATAAAAGACCCTCTTCGGTGGTATATATCAATTCATTAGGAACTTTGTTAAAAAATTTGTGTTGGTTCATAAAATAATAACTTTATAAAATTATGCTTATTATTTA